ACGGGAGCTGACGCCCACTCACTTAGAACGGGAGCTGACGCCCACTCACTTAGAACGGGAGCTGACGCCCACTCACTTAGAACGGGAGCTGACGCACACTCACTTAGAACGGGAGCGCCGTCTGTTGTCGTGCCTGCGCCGAGAGGGGCTGGGGGAGCCGGAGGAGCTGCTGGAACTGGAGCTCCGGGATGTGCTAGAGCTTCCTGAACGGCTGGATGCAGAGGAAGAGCTGGAGCCACTGCTGGAGCCTGTGCTGGTGCTAGAACCGGAGCTGGAGGTTGAGCTGGACCGAGACCTGAGGGCAGGACAGGTGGGTTGGGTAATGCCAGGCAGAAGTTGCGTTTCTCCACACAAGATGAAACTTGCTGTTTAGATACTGCTAGACCACAATGCCTTCTCCCCACTGGGGAGACTGCCCTCCTAGGAGAAGATATCACTGTGTGGTGGTGGGAGGGAGGGCTGGCTGTTGGGGCCACACAGAAGCTCTCCTGCAGGGAGGCAAAGGAGAAGCCTGTCAGAGATCTGAACTACCACTTCATTTTCAACTACTGAAGAATGAGCCTGAGACCAGACCAACCACAATTTTGAAGGAAGGTACATTTAAAAGAACAAGAACAGAGTCAGGTACTGGTGTCTTATGCCTGTAATCCTTGCTACTGAGGAATCAGACCTGAGGGTCACAGTTCGAAGGCAGCCCAGACAGGAACATCTTTGAGATTCTTACCTCCAATTTACCATTAGAAAACCCAAAGCAGCACTGTAGCTCAAGTGATAAGAGCACTAGCCTTGGAAACAAAGCTCAGGATAGTGCCCAGGTCCCGAGTTCAAACTCCATGAAAAACAAAACACCAAGAAGAGACCCCAGAGCGGGGCACCCTAACAGACCGCCTCACCTGGTGCTGCTGCTCCCACTGGAAGCACTGCGTCGCTTCCGAGCCTTATCCCTGCTGCGGTCCTTCTCGCTAGACTCCTTGGTGGCCCCTTTATCTTTAGAGCGATCCTTTGACTTCTCGTCAGAGCGGTCTTTGCGTTTGGTAGGAGAAGGAGCCCTGGATAGCGAGGAAGAACGTGAGGCTGTATGCTCCTGACAGACCCGTGAAACAACACAACTCAAGAGAGGGGTCCAAAAGGGCAAGAAATCCCAAGCAATCACAGAGCAAAATGATCTGTGGCTTAGGACAGAATGCAAAACCATTTTTGGTCTCCCCTTTCTAAGGGTTCCTAGCAGCAAGCACCCCCAAAGTAGCACTAGAAAAATCTTACAGAAGGATTACCTAGTGCTGGACTTTTTATTATTTTCTTTGACTCCTAGCAAGCTCTTCTTTTTCACTCCTGATAAATCCATTCTCCCCTTCTGAGGTGTTCAAAGCAGCAAGGACGGCCTCACTTATCTGAACTCTCACTTCTAACTTGAGTCTGAGAAACGATCCCTAATCGATTGCAATTTACGCCAAAGAGCAGCCTAATAACAAGATAAAAGGGTTTAAATAAAGAATGAACGAATTGGCAAGGCAACAAACCCATCTTGTAAAATTGTGAAGACACAAAAGGCACAGGGAACCCAGTAACCAAGTGTGCACAGAGCGAGGGCACGCAGGGGCAGACCCCAGGTGCCGGTTCCTCAGGGAGGACAGGAGCCCAGCCCCTCCCCTGCAGGTAGGCCTCACCTGTTTGTCTTTCCGAGAAAAGAACACACAAGAATATATGCCTAAGGCATGGGAATGTCAAGATTCTTCAGGTGGTGAAGTTGCCCAACTCTAGATCTCACCCAGAAGTCTGAGGACAAGACCTCCACAGTCCTTCCAAAATGTTACAGCACCAGAGTAGAGAAACACCTAACAAGTATGGTCTTCTGACAGGGTCAGACCTCTTTGTCTTTTTGCTGTAAATTCCTTTTAGGATACGTTAAATGAGGATATGACTAGAGGTGAAAACCACTTTTAGATCGACAGGCAACAGTATCAGAGCATTTAATACCAAAGGTAAATAGAGAAAATATATCAGGATCATGAAAAAGGACTTAAATTTGTTAATCATCTGCACACTGGGCATGTGGAAACCTATAAGCCTGAAATTTAATGATACAAGAAAAATGAACTGCTAAGCTTTATGTTCCTGAAGGATAATTCAGAAACATGACTTGTGAGGTCAGGTGAGCACAATTATACAATGTCCATTCCTTCAACCTTTTGTGATTTCAAAAAAAATCTTGGGGGCGGGGGGGGGGGCACTGGGAATGTGGTTTAGTGGTAGAGTGCTTGTCTAGCACGCATGAAGCCCTGGGTTCGACTCCTCAGTACCACATACACAGAAAAGCCAGAAATAGCGCTGTGGCTCAAGTGGCAGAGTGCCAGCCTTGAGCAAAAGCAGCTCCAGGACAGTGCCCAGGCCCCAAGTTCAAGCCCCAGTATTGGCACCCCCCCCCAAACACACAAATCTTTGGGAAGAAGGTAGACATTGCATCAGGTAAGACACTGCTCATCATCTAAGTGTTTAGCAAAGTGCTAGTACTGAACCAATTGCTTGGTGATGACGACCAACTTTACTAAAATAACTCCTCCTCTGTGCTATTTTCAGGGATGGCTTCCTTCACTATTCCAGTCAGTGAGGTATATCAATTTTCTACAACTTGTCTTCTTTAAGGTAGACAGAGCAAACCACTGGGGGTTCTGCTCACACCCAGACAGGGGTGCCTCAAAATCTTCTGAGCCAAGAAAGAAGAGCTGCTGACTGGGCAAGTTAGTGGAAGAGGTCAGAATATCACCTTCTGTTCCTTTCTAGGGCTGTAAAATCTTTTCAAATTGTTTTGTTTTAAAATAGTAATGTAGCTGGGTGTGGCAGCTCACGCCTGTAATCCGAGCTACTCAGGAGGCTGAGATTTGAGGATCACGGTTCAAAGCCAGCCCTGGCAGGAAAGGCCATGAGTCTCTTACCTCCAATAAACCACTCAGAAAACCAGAAGTAGTGCTGTGGCTCAAGTGGTGGGGCACTTGCCTTGAGCTGAAGAGTTCAGGGACAGTGCCCAGGCCCAGAACTCAAGCCCCACAACTTACCAAAAAAAAAAAAAAGGTCATGTACTATAAACACCCACAAGGGCAGCACTGGCTGTGCTTTGACAATCAGTGCACCTAATTTAGTGGCTGAAAGTGCAGTATCAGCATGCTTGCATGCAAGGCTTAGCTAGGGACCCAGGGTGTATATCTCAGGAATGAGGCTTCTCCTTAAAAGTGTGATGACAATTACAGTTCCTACCTTATAGTTTTCCAATTGAGCACTTAGTAAATGCTAGCTAGACAAGGATGCTTTCCCATGTCTGAAAGCTTTTGATCATATCCACTCATCTTCACAGTCACATCACATGACTTCTAAATGTCCCCCAAGGTTCCCCAAACAACCCCTCTAAAAACCCCTTAGAAAAATCAATCTAATCAGTGTGGGGCTGGGAAGGTAGCTCAGTGGTAGAGTGCTTGCCTTGTAAGCATTAGGCCTTGGGTTCGATTCCTCAGCACCACATAAGCAAAAAAAGCCAGAAGTGGCACAAGTGGTAGAGTGCTATCTTTGAGCTGAGGGACAGCACCCAGGCACAGAGTTCAGGCCCCATGACCCACCAAAAATAAATAAATAAATAAAAATGTGGAGCTGGGGATCGAACCCAGGGCCTCACACACGCTAGGCAAGTGCTCTGCCACTAAAAACATTTGTTGATAAACCTTTTAAAATGACTACCTTACCAGACAAACACAGCTCTAGAGTAGAGATTACTTAAGACTCTCTCCCCAATCTGTCCCAATGTATTTTATGAAACAAGCACTACCAGTCGCTCTTATGCAGTTAAAGAAAAAAAAAAAAAGAACCACAGAATAAGCGAATGCTTTGCTGGTTGGGTCGAGGGCTAGAAAGCAAAGGTTGAGATGCTCTGTTCACACAAGTTCAGGTAACAGCTCGGGACCTTGGTTACCTCCCCCATCCTCCGGAAAGGTGCGCGTCCAACAGCCAGAGAGAGGAGAGAACAATTAGTTAAATCTCGAGCAGATGGCGTTTCAGTGCAAATCTTCCGAGCACCCTCCCCATGTTAAAAGTACGTTTCAGACGCGGTGCATGAGAAATGGCAAGGGCCGAAAAAAGCCTACACCGTGTCTCTCTGCGATCACCCCCCCCTACTTTTTCCCTCTTGAGCTCACTGTGTTTGGGCCACACTGCCTGGGCCCGATCCCCGGAGCTTAGCGCCCAGCACGGCTCGGTAAACGTCCTCGGAGTTCGCGTTTGGATTACCCACCCGGGGGGAGGGGGCGAGTCCCGGCCTTCCAGGCGGCCCCACAAAGCGACTCCGCACCCACCCGCTCGCCCCCGGCCCTCGCTCGTGCGCGCACTGCTCTCCAAGAGGGTCCCCGCCGAGGAGAAACTCCCGAGGACAGAGGCCGCGCTCCGAGCCGCCCCGAGGCGGTCGCAGCCAGGTCGTCCTTCCGTCCGCGGCGGCACCGACCACTTCCGGGCCGCGGCCTCGACGCCTCCCACTCCTCCCTCCCCGGGCCCCATTCTTTCTCTTCGGGGCCCGCGGTGCGCCGCCAGCCTGCCAGCACACCACGGGGCCGCACACCGAGCCGGCCCCACGATCCGCCCCACCGGGCCTGACACGGGTCCCCCGACGCTCGGATGCGGTCGGATTCCTCCCCTCCACTTACATCTTCCCGCCGCTACCACCTCCTCCCGCTCTCCTCCGTCGCTGAGGCCGGCGCGGCTCTGACGTCAGAGTTCAGGAGCGGGAAGGCGCCGCCGTCCGGCGCGCCGTGATGACGCCAACGGCGGCAGCCAATAGGCGGGAGCGACGGAGCGTCAGCGCACCGAGGTCGTCTGCGGTTCGTGGTGCGCGCGCCGACTCCGTTCGTGGGCGGGGCGGGGCTGGGCGGG